CGCAAAAAAATCCAGTGACCTTGCGACGAAATATGAACTTTCGTATCAAACACGTGCGACGAAACCGGAAATGTCGTCGCAAGGTGTTGCGACGCATATGAATTATCCGTCGCGAACGATAAAAAATATTTTTTTTCAGAAAATACGGTTTTCGCGACGAATCAGTGTTTTCGTCGCAACACTTGGCGTCGCAATTGTGGTTTCGTCGCTGACTTTGCGACGGGGCATTTGGCGTCGATTTGTGACTGATGTAGCGAAGAAAATAAAACGTCGCCAACCGTGTTAAAACGTCGCTACGAGACAGAATTCGTCGCGAAATTTCGTCGCCAGTCTTGCATTTTGGCCTAGTGATAATTGTATATATCGGTAAAACACAATATAAAATGATAATAAATGTAAGTATTTAAATACTGTTAAATAAAATACTAATTGCGACATTCATTATTAGTAAATGATATTAAATAAATTATTAACAAATTTAATATAATAAAATTTGAAAAATATAAAGAAATGCAGTTCAGTACGCCAAGCATCTATTATTAATTATATAATATTAGAAATATTAATAAACTCCACACATTTAAAAATGTAAAGAATGCTCAATTAAATATAAAAAAATGCATAACTTAATCCAAACTCACTTATGTTACTTAATCGATAGTGTGACAAATCCAAATAAAAAATAAAATAATATGTTTATTTAGAAGAAGAAAAAATTATAACTCATTCCAATTAATAGTTTTCTTACTTTAAAATAAAATTATATACTACAAATACTATATTGTGAATTTTCTTTCAATATTTAATTTAATCAAATAGTAAGATTTGAATCGATTAAGCTCAAATCCTTTCAATTAGTAAACATTATTCAAATATTTGAATCGATTGCTTAACTATTGACATAACGTGTTACATAATTGATTTAACTATTTATAAGTTTGGAAAGCTAAATCTCACACTATTTTTACCAAATCATGCACATAATTAAAAATATTTTTCTCTCTAAAATCTTCTCTTCTACTTCGCCACACTTCTTCTTTTTCCCTAATTTTTTCACAAATTCACACACAAAAAATATAATCAGCATTCCAAGTTCAAATTTGACAAAAAACTTCACATGTTCAAACTACAACAAAGTTTAAATTTGAGGAAAAAATTCGAATTCATATGAATTTGAATAATTAAAAATTCTTAATGAAATTGAATAAATATTAAATAAAACGGAACTATTTTTTTATGATTATTCACGTAAAATATTAATGAATTTTGAGTGACTTGGATAAAATCATTTTAGAGAGAAGTAAGAGAAAATTTGAGTAGAGAGAATTATTTTTTTTTAATTTATCTGTGGGATTTAGTAAATTTTAGTGTGGGATTTAGCACACCCCTTATAAGTAATGTGTAATATCTTTTTAACTCAGTTTTTTCATAAAAATAATAAATCTAATTCCTAACACATGTAAGAACCTAATCGTAAATCGTAATATTTTATCAAAGCGTAATATTTGAACCAATTAAGCTCAAGTCCTTTCAATTCGTAAACATTAGTCAAATATTTGAATCGATTAAGCGTGCTCAACTATTGACAAGAACGTCTTAACCATTTTAGGGCCTTTTTGTATTAGAAATGTTAGAGTTGCCCCAGACTTTTTATTACCATTGTAGGGGTACTCTTTTACCTTGTGTAGGCCCACAAGGTTTTTAACGAGGCCCCAAGTCTTTCGATAATAATGGAATAATAAAGTTTTTTTCGGCCAAAAAAAAATAAAAAAAAATTAACTATTTTTAATTAAAGTGTAATACATTTTTAATTCAATTTTATCATAAAAAAATAATTCCTAAATTACGTAAGAATCAAATCATAAGATTAATTAAAGCGTATGATTTAAATCAATTAAGCGCAAGTCCTTTTAATTTGTAAATATTATTCAAAAATTTGAATCGATTAAGTTCAATCACTGACAATAACGTATTAATCGAGTTAACTATTTATAATTAAAGTCTACTGTCCTTTTAATTCAATTTTAACAAGAATGATAATAATTTAATTCGTAAAATCGTAAGAATCAAATTGTAAATTGTAAGATTGAATCTAACCATGAACCAATTAAATCTTACGATTTTTAGGAATTAAAATTTATTATTTTTTATGATAAAATTAAATAAAAAAAGATACTTAACTTTAACTATACATAGTTTGATTAATACGCTATTGTAAATTATTGAGTTTAATAGATTCAAATATTTGAATATTGTCTACGAATTGAAATGAGTTGAGCTTAATCGATCAAATCTTTGAATATTGTTTTTGAATTGAAAACACATGAGTTTAATTGATTCAAATATTACGATTTAATTAAATCTTACAATTTACGATTCAATTCAAACTTCAAATTCTTTCGAAATTTATTTTTAAATTACACGAGTTGATCAGCATTTCCTTAGATTTTCAAATTATATTATATAAAGATTTGTTAGTATGGGATATTTTTAATATATAATAATAATTATATGAGAATTAATAATTTATTTAACATTATTTATATAAGTTTTATAATCATTATATATTGTAGCTTTGTGATATATATCCTTATTGTTAGTTTATTGTTAATTATGTGTTGTGTCTTAATGGTTAGTATCCTTGTATGCTTTTACATGGTCATAAGTTCGAATTCAGGTTGATGCAATTTTGGATGGGGGTGGTTTAATGATTTTTACGAATAATGATATAATTGACTTTATAAATTTTAATTTAGCAATAAATATAAATTTAAAATTGCATTAAAATAGAGAGGGTAAAATTGACATTTCATTAATAATTTATAATTGCCGATTTTTTTTTAAATAATAATTGTATAAACGGTATTTGCGACAATACATAAATGAGGAAAAAATAGGTTGTGTTGCTGGGACACGTGTCGCAATCTGAAGGGGATATCTCATATAAGTCGTGTTCTTGGGATCTCACGGTAGAAACACCCTATTATTTTATCTACTATTTTCCAGTTTATTTCCACTCATTTTTCTTTTGCGTCGTTTTTTTAATTATCAATATCATATTTTGACAATTAAGTTTTTATATTTTTTTTTTGTAATGAGTTTGTATTATATAATTTGTATAAATATTAATGTTGTTACCGATATCACTAATAAATTTTAGTATAGTTGTTATATGTATTACACTAATCATTATTTTCAGTTTGAAATGTTATTCGGTGCATCGCACGGGGAAAAATGCTAATTATCTTAATGTGAAGTACCAATATGTATATACTTCAAGGGTGCATAGTGGAATTAAGTTTTTTTCTCTAATAAACTATGTAACACAGACACGGGATTGTTGACACGGGGAAACATGGAAACTATACATTCTAAAAAAATGGATACAAAAACGTGGGGAAACGTGTAAATATTAAAAATAAATGAGTATATTCACAAGTTCTAAAAAATATTATAAACATGTAATAACATGTATGCTTATCGTCACTTATAGATGTGTATCCACAAATTATATTCAACCTAAAAGTTACAATCCGTATTATCAATGCACAAATTATCTATGGGACATAAAAAATTGTTTTACTATAGAATTAATATCTCCAAAAATTATCAAATGCCATTAGAAGTAAAGAAGTGACCTAAGATTTAAAAAAAATTCAAACATACGCAAATTTGACTTTTTATTTATAATAGATTTTTTATTTTTTTGAGCGAAAACAATTTTCCATTTTTTCATTATTTCTTGAAACATCCCTGAAACTTCTAAGTATGTATGGAAACGGCCTCAAAACGTTTTGAGCAGTGTTATGGAGTTGCGGTATCCGAATCATGGAAATGCTTGTGTGCACGGAAACTGCATCTTAGCTAATACACTTATTATGCACCTAAAGATAATTTCTTTATTTACATCATCTAAAGAGGGTAAATTACAAACACCCCCTGAGGTATGGCCAAATTACAAAAACACCCCTCTTGTTTGGATAATTACAACCACCCCTCAACTACTCAAATTTTGTGGAATCTTCGAGATTATATGGAATATTATCACTTTTGTACCCGTTTTATCCCATTCAAACTCTAAATTATTAAGGAAGATGATCATAATATGTGATTTTTAGCTTGTATATATCAGTTTGTGGTGCATCAGAAACTGTATTTTTACACAAAACGATTACAAACTAAAGCACATTTCACAGAATCTAGATGATTATGTTGAATTTGGCACCATAAGGGTGGAGGTGTAAGAAAAAAAAACATAGTTGAGGGGGGTAGATGTAATTATCCAAACAAGAGGGGGTTTTGTAATTTGACCATACCTTAGGGGGTGTTTGTAATTTACCCTCTAAAAAATAACAAATTTGCCACCAAATTAATTGATCCACGCACGAACTTTAAATTCGCTTTCAATTTAATGATGCAGGAGTACATGATGTAAGAATACTAATGATGTAGGAGTACATGATGGACCTCCACCAACAAATTTGATGAATTATGAAATACAATAGAAGAACCCAAGAAATGTTCAAATAAAAAATCAAATATTAATTTTAGTAAGCTATTTGTTTATAAAATCTTGACAGCTAACATGAAAGCATAGTGGAGTACTAGTCAAGGCATCTATGGCCATTAATGCAAGTGCAACATTTAGTCCTTACACATATGTATTTGTATTTGTAATAAATTTAATTAAACAAAATAATAATAAAAGAGATAATAAAAATAAATTTAAAGAAACGCGGTTAATAGTAACCAGGTCAACCATCAACATTAATTATTAGAAAGTGGATGTTTCAATCAATAGAAATAACAAAAAACATCCATTACTCATTTGGAAAATGTCAATTACACATGGTTTAATTAGTTTCTTTCTCTACTATATATATATATATATAATACATATCCTAAGAACATTAATATTCATCACACATTCACTTTTCCCTTCGATTCTCTCTCTTTCTCTCCAAACAAGCTAAGGGGGACGAGAGTTAGTGTGATAAATTATGGATTCTTTTGTTAGGGTTTTGGTGGTGATGGCCTTTCTGATTGGTGCCACGTCGGCAGGCAATTTCAATACAGATGTAACTATAACTTGGGGCCAACCACGTGCTCAGATTCTAAACAAGGGCCAACTTCTTTCATTATCCCTCGACAACACTTCTGGCTCCGGTTTCGAGTCCAAATACGATTTCTTGTATGGAAGGTTTGATGTTCAGCTCAAGCTTATCCCTGGAAACTCTGCCGGCACTGTCACTACGTTTTACGTAAGCCTATCGCTAGATCAAATTAAATGTTATTCAATATTTTCTTTCATATATACATATAAAACTTATATATATGTGCGTCAGATGTCATCACAAGGGGCAGCACACGACGAAATTGATTTCGAGTTCTTGGGGAATGCTTCGGGGCAGCCATACACTGTGCACACAAATGTGTACGCACAAGGAGTAGGTAATAAGGAACAACAATTCCGCCTTTGGTACGATCCAACCTTAGCGTTCCACACTTACACCATTCTTTGGAACCCCCTACGAATCATGTAAGTCAAATATGCATTTATTTTCTTCTATGTTTCAATTCACTTCACATACTAATGTACAAGAAAATCAAAGAAGTTGAAATCAATAGTACATGATATGTTTTTGTACTATACAGAGATCATAAAATAAATGGCTTTTACGTATTATATAATTGTTTCGATGCATGCATGCAGCTACATGGTGGACAACATCCCGATTAGGGTATTCAACAACTACATTGCAAACGGAGTGCAATACCCGACGAGCCAGCCGATGAAGGTGTACGCCAGCTTATGGAACGCCGATGACTGGGCAACACAAGGGGGCCAGGTGAAGACAGACTGGACAAAGGCCCCCTTCACCGCCACTTACAAGAATTACAATGCGAACGGATGCATTGTTAATGGAACAACCAATTCATGCACTAACAAACCTAGACAGTCGTGGCAAACTATGGGATTGGATGCAAATGCAAAGAAGAAAATCCAAACCTTACAACAAAAGTATATGATTTACAACTACTGCACCGATCTTAAAAGGTTTCCTCAGGGGCTTCCTAGGGAATGCGGTCTCCCAAAGTTCTAGGCCACCGTACGTACGTACGTACGTACGTGGGTGATCGATGATTATCTCAATCTGCTTTCTTCTTTCTTATCCTTCGATTAATTCATATATGATAAAACTTTTTTCATGTATGTTCCTTATTTTTTCTTATTTTTTTGGCTTCTCTTAAGGGTTTACCAAAACTGACTCTTTAACTATACCAACAACCCTACTGTATTTGTTATTCTGAGCACGAATGAGATGAGCTCAATTGCATTTGTTTTTAATAATGTGTTCTTTGTTTCGTATTTACTTTCTTCACGCAACTAGGTTACTTAAATATGAATTCACTACAAAGAAAGGGTTTTAAGTGACAAAAAAAATTGTCACCACAAGCTAAAATTTCATCCTCATAAACATTACGTGACAAAAAATATCGTCACATGGGTCGTCGCGTGGGCCCCGTCGCAAAAGGTATTAAGCGACAAAATTCTAATTTCGTCACTAGCCACTGCGACGAAATAAATTTTGTCACAGATAGTTACTTTTCCGTGACGAACATTATTGCGTCGCGTAAACACATTAATTTTGTCACTACAAGCTATTCGTCACCACAAAAAGTATCTTTTTGACTTACTTACTGTGACGAATTATTTCGTCACTTGAGTTATAAATCTTTTGAGACAATTTTTTCGTCCCATAAAGTCCTGTTTTTAACTGAAAAAAAAAAATGGTTTAAAATGTATATTTTTTTGGCTGCTCCCAAAATTAATTACTCTTAGCCATGTAGATCACGAAACTAATGAACATGAATATGAAAAAATATCATTGAACCGAAGATTGCTCTCAAAACTAAAATTAGTTGTGTTACAATATATAGAAACACTTGAGTTAACTAAAACATTCAAGTAAATCTAGAATGCCTAATCTTTAGTGTTTATTAAGCCACTGCTTCGTATAATGTTTGTACCTTCTATCAATCTGCACAAATAAAAACTTCATCTATAAAATGGAACACAGTGAATGAGAAAATAACATAAGGGTATTAACTTAACAAATAATAGTAGAATATTGTACAAGCTCAATAATTTAGAGAAGATAAAGCAATCTTACCATCAGAATCGAGGAGTACAAATTCTTTCTACTTACCTAGAAAGTATTTCAGAGTTCATCAACACTGGTTGAAACTCATTCCTTGATGATTTACCATGCTCGATAGGGCTTAAGACACGTACCTTAAACTTTCATACATCCAATGAGAATTTTTACCATCAAGACAATCAGGATAAAAATAATTTCAACAAGCAAAACTGTATTATCCATATAAATGCAGAAAAACAATTACATATAAACTAACTGTCAAAGAAAATCTCAATTGACAACATAACTTTTAAATGTAAAGGCTAGATAGTTCCAAAGAACTCTTGCAATCAGAATTAACTTAAATAAATCTGAGGCGTTGTGACAGTATAAAAAGGATGGAACAACCCCGAATACTCGTAAATTAGATCAGGTAATAACTTACAACTGGGAGCGGTGAGTTTCAATGTCCCGAAACAAATGTCGTAAAGAGCTTCGTTGACAAGAACTATGCACTCATCTGCATTTTCGACCAGCTGATGAACAGACGACAAAGTGGCATTATAAATTAGCATCAGAGATCTAACAAAAAGAACACCTCAAGATGACCGCATTAACTTTCATGACGAATATTTAGTTTTGTCACCTAAAATCAATTTTATGGGACGTATTATAATGTTGTCACATAAAATATCAATTTACATGACGACTTCAAATTCCGTCCCAGTATCTTACTACTAGTGTGACGATTTATTCTTTCGTCACAAGAAACTGTCACAAAAGATACTTTTTCTTGTAGTGATTTATACACCCATGCACCATTTAACTTTCAGGCACTTTTCACCATAACGTTTTTTAATCTTTTCCAACCTTTTTCAATTTCCAATACACAAAAATCAACATTCAACTACAAAAAATTATGCAATACAGCAATTTCGAAATGGATCCAGAAGATACAAACCCAGAGTTAATTTTTCATTGTTTCTCGAATCTTCAAGATTTCGTATAGATTTACACGAAATATTTCCAAAAGATTGTGTAAAACTCACTACAAAAAAGTGCTTTTAAATAACTAAAAAATGGTAACAATTAAAAAGTTTGTCACAAGAAGTAACCTATTGTAACGAATAACAATTTTTGTCCCAAATTAGTCCATTTTTTTGTGACACTGCAAAACAGTCGTTACAAAAAGGAACATTTTGTTACCAAAAACCTACTCTTTACGACAACAAAAAATGTTGGTTACAAAACAACTATTGTTGTTACAAAAAATGTATTTTCTAGTGACAAAATATAATATTCGTTACAAATGGTATAAGGTTATCACAAAAAAATGTATAGGGATGGCCATGGGGCGGGTTTGGTGCGGGTTTTGCATTATCCGCCCCCGCCCCATTAAGAAACCCGTTCAACCTGCACCCGCCCCGTCCCGCAATTGGTATAAATTTTACAAACCCGCACTCCCCACCCCCAATAGAAAACCCGCGAGTAGCCGTCCCCGCCAAAAAACCCATAAAAATTGAAGAAAAAGTAAAAAAAAACAAAAAAAAAAGTTTTTTTTTTTTAAATAAGCCTCATAGAAAACAACAATTCTAAATCCAAATAACAAATTTACTATAATGATATTATAATAAATAATATATATATATATGTATATATACATATGGGGCGGGTATACACAAATCCGCACCCGCTCCAAACCCGTTTTCGGGGGAAAAAAAAACCGCGGGTACGGGTCGGATAACAATTGCCATCCCTAAAAATGTAATTCTTTGGTGAAAAATGTGAATCTTGTCACAATAAGTTTTATAAAAATAACTATTGGTAACAAATCGGAGTTTGTACCAAAACTAAGCCTATTTTAGTAAGGATACAATTGTCACTATAAATACTCTATGGTAACAAAAATAGGCTTTGTCACTAGTACATTTGTAACGACAATGTATGTTTGTTACCTAAACTTTTAGCGTCGAGCTTTAGATGACAAACAAAGGTAACGAACTGTGTCGTTACCAAAAGCTTGAGAGACGAACTTTGGACCTGTTGTGACGAATATTTTCCTCTCGTAAATTAGTTTTTCTTGTAGCGACTCTAGGGATGGCCATGGGGCGGGTTATGCATTCCCCGCACCCACACCATTAATAAACCCGTTCAACTCGAACCCGTACCCGCCCCGCTCGCAACGAGTATACATTTTACCAACCCGCACCCGCCCCATAGAAAACCTGCAGGTACCCCCCGCCAAAAGACCCGTAAAGCTGAAGAAAAAAGTAAAAAGTAAAAAGAAAAAAAAATGAATAACCCTAATGAAAACAATAATTCTAAATGAAGATATCAAATGTATTATAAATGAAGATATCAAATATATATATATATATATATATATATATATATATATATATAAATAATATATATATATATATATACATATATATATATATATATATATACATATATATATATATATATATATATATATATAGGGCAAATTACCAAAACCCCTCTGAGGTAAGCCTAAATAACGAAAATCCCCCCACGTTCTCGTAATTACGAAACCCCCCCCCCCGACTAACGGTTGACCGAATTTTTTTAACCGAAAACGTGAAATGTCTATTATATCCTTCTGTTAAACATGTGAAAATAAAAGGGCAAATTACCAAAACCCCCTGAGGTAAGCCTAAATAACAAAAATCCCCCCTCACGTTCTCGTAATTATGAAAACCCCCCTTGACTAACCACGTTCTCGTAATGCTGGTCGATTGCGTGCAGAATACAACCGGCTTGTTGAGGGGTTGGCTCAAAGGGGGAGCCTTCCTAGTACGTTGAATTGATTCATCATTTTAAAATTGAGCATGGGACCAAATCATAATTTTCATTAAAATATTATATTTTCTCTACTTGCAGTTAGCGACACCTGGTTCTCAAATCCTACGTTGCCTGAGGATATATTGAAGGAAGCAGTTCCTGGAACATTTCTTGTTTGTTTTACGCAGATTGGTCCAGTATCTTAGAGGACGACTGCAAACCGAAAATGTTGAGAAGGATCGACCAAAAGATGCTACGATTTTGTTATGACCGGCTTCACTCACTCATGTTAACTTTGGAGATAACCGATACTGAAGACTTCTTACATATCCAAGCGGTTTGCGATATGGCAACTCTTGTGGGGACCTGTAATATTTTCTATTATCCTTGAACCTTGTCTAGTAATTTGCCCTTGATTTCTAATGAAATGCCTGTGTTTTTTGTTCAGCTTTGTTGTCACGATGCTTCTCTTGCTATAAAGCCTGTGTTTGAACGGTTCCAATCTGTTGTTATTACTTCTGGAACACTGAGCCCTATTGATCTCTACCCTCGTCTTCTTAATTTTAATCCCGTGGTTAATCCCGTGGTGCTTTTTTTTTTCTAATTATTTGGGAAAAATACGAGCTTTATGTATTCTTTCATGTTATGATTTTGGTGTGAAATTGCTGATGTTCGTGTTCGTGCACTATTATGGTCAGCAGTACCTTACGAGCTTTATATCCTTCTGTTAATTACGAAAGTATTATTTATTAGGGTGTTTCTACCATGAGATCATGTGTTCTAAACTTATTTGAGATACCCTCTTCAAATTGCGACACGTGTCCCAGCAAAAAAAATTATTTTTTCCTCATTTATGTAATGTCGCAAATACCATTTGTACAATAATTATTTTAAAAAAATCGGCAATTATAAATTATTAATGAAATGTCAATATTACCCTCTCTATTTTAATGCAATTTTAAATCTATATTTATTGTTGAATTAAAATTTATAAAGTCAATTATATCATTATTTATAAAAATCATTAAACCACACATCCAAAATTGCATCAACCTGAATTCGAACTTGTGATCATCTGAAAACATACAAGAATACTTACCATTAAGACACAACACGTAATTGACAATAAACTAACAGTACGGGTATATATCACAAAGCTACAATTTATAAT